CCTTGGACTGCAAGGCGTGCACCACAACACTAGCTAATTTTTTTTTTTTTTTGAGACGGAGTCCACTCTGTCGCCCAGGCTGGAGTGCAGTGGCCGGATCTCAGCTCACTGCAAGCTCCGCCTCCGGTTAACACCATTCTCCTGCCTCAGCCTCCCGATAGCTGGGACTACGGGCGCCTGCCACCTCGCCCAGCCTAGTTTTTGTATTTTTAGTGAAGAGACGGGTTTCACCGTGTTAGCCAGGGATGGTCTCGATTCCTGACCGCTATCCGTATCCGCCCGTCTCGGCCTCCCAAAGTGCTGGGATTACAGCCTTGAGCCACCGCGCCCGGCCAACACTAGCTAATTTTTTAAAAAATTCGTTGGTAGAGACAGGGTCTCCCTATGTTGCCCAGGCTGGGCTCAAGTGATCCTCCCACCTTAGCCCCCCAAAGTGCTAGAACTAAAGGGGTGATCTGTGTCCAGCCCTTAATGTATTTAGCTGTACACGACAACTGTATTGGACAGTGCAGTTCTAGAGAGTTCTGTGGGACGTAGTTCCTGGGAAGGATGGCCGTAGGATGTGCTAACTTATGGTGGGCGTGGCTGTCAGGATCCCAGCTGGAAGTCGATATGGGCACTCAGCCCCATCACTCAGAGGTGACGGAAACGCCTCTGACTGGTGCTCTCCCATCTGCCTCCGGCCCCAGGTCCAGTGGCTCCTGGACAACTATGAGACGGCTGAGGGCGTGAGTCTGCCACGGAGTACCCTCTACTGCCACTACCTGCTGCACTGCCAGGAGCAGAAGCTGGAGCCCGTCAACGCCGCCTCCTTCGGCAAGCTCATCCGCTCCGTCTTCATGGGCCTGCGAACCCGCCGTCTGGGCACCAGGTAGGGCCGTCCATCTACTCCCAGCAGCCCCTGGGGAATTGGCGGGCACGCCAAGGCCCACCCCCAACTCCAAGTCATCTCGGGCAGTCCAGTCCAGCCCAGCCCCCGCCGGCCTCCACGAGGCTCACTCCCACCCCAGGCCTTTGCACTGGCGGTGCCTTCCACCTCATGTGTTTCTCACCCCTCCTTACTCACACGCCCCCTGACTGCCTCAACTAAAACTGCAGCCTCCTCCCTTTCCCCCGCCCGACACCCCAAACCCTGCTTTATTTTTCTCTTTAGCATTGAGCACCTTCACACGTGCCTTTTTTTTTTTTTTTCTTTTGGAGACAGAGTCTCACTCTGTGGCCCAGGCTGGAGTGCAGTGGCTCAATCTCGACTCACTGCAACCTCCACCTCACAGGTTCAAGCCATTCTCATGCCTCAGCCTCTTGAGTAGCTTGGGATTACAAGCATGCGCCACCATGCCCAGCTAATTTTTAAAACATATTTTTAGTAGAGACAGAGTTTTGCTATGTGGGCCAGGCTGGTCTTGAACTCCTGTCCTCACGTGATCTTGGCCTCCCAAAGTGCTAGGATTATAGGCATGAGCCACCATGCCCAGCCCACACGTGCCTTTTACGTGACTTATTTCAGTTGTTCTGGTCCGTCTGCAATGCTTGTACCTTGATGATGCGGGGTTGCACCTAGTCAGTGCTTCATCAGGGCCTGTGAGTCAGTGAATTCACGTGGGAAGGAACAAGAAGCCATCCCACGAACCCATCCCTCTCTTCCTCTCCTTTGCAACCCCCGTGGCTCACCCCCGCTCACGTCTCGGTTCCCGTTCCCAGCTTCAGCATCATCTCATTCAGCCATTCAACCATTCATTTATGTATAATCTTGGGCAAAGTACTGGATCTCTCCCAACACCCCCAGCCCCAGTGCCTCCTCAGTGCAGCACCCCCGGCTCTGCAGGGCAGGCGTCTCTCCATCTGTTCCCCTAATAGAGAGGAGATGGGTGTGCTGTGAGGCGCTCCATGGCCGGCCAGCCGGCAGACCCCCAGCCCAGCCCTTCCCCTCCACCTCCCTCCCAGGGGCAACTCCAAGTACCACTACTACGGCCTGCGCATCAAGGCCAGCTCACCCCTGTTGCGACTGATGGAGGACCAGCAGCATATGGCCATGCGGGGCCAGCCCTTCTCGCAGAAGCAGAGGTAGGAGAGCAGGACCGGGCCCGGGGCAGGGCAGGCCGGGAAGGGCATACAGGCCGGCCCCCAGCAGCCAGCCCGCTTGCCCATTCTACTCCAGGCTCAAGCCCATCCAGAAGATGGAAGGCATGACCAACGGCGTGGCGGTGGGGCAGCAGCCGAGCACGGGGCTGTCGGACATCAGCGCCCAGGTGCAGCAGTACCAGCAGTTTCTGGGTGAGAGCACCCTGGCCTGTGCTTCCCCAGCCACCGCCCCCCGGCCCCGTACAGATGGTTCCCAAAGCCGAATGGCGGCAGACAGCCTCTGAGCCGGGGAGGGCTTGGTGGAGATGCTTGAGGACCAGCAGGGGGTTGGGGAGACATCACAGTCTCCGTCCACAGTGACAGTTCTGTCCCCAGAATCCTTCAAGGTAAATTCTCTTTTTTTTTTTTTTTTTTGAGACGGAGTCTCACTCTGTCGCTCAGGCTGAAGTGCAGTGGCGCGATCTCAGCTCACTGCAAGCTCCGCCTCCCGGGTTCACGCTGTTCTCCTGCCTCAGCCTCCCAAGTAGCTGGGACTACAGGCGCCCGCCACCTCGCCTGGCTAGTTTTTTTGTATTTTTTAGTAGATACGGGGTTTCACTGTGTTAGCCAGGATGGTCTGGATCTCCTGACTTCGTGATCCGCCCATCTCGGCCTCCCAAAGTGCTGGGATTACAGGCTTGAGCCACCGCGCCCGGCGACTCTCATTTCTTTCAATGCAAAGTATTTCTCTGGGGTTCTGAGCTCCCCAGTGAATCCTCTTTATGCTACATGAGGTTTTCTTTATTTTTGTGTTTGTTTATTGATTTTTTTGAGACAGATTCTCTGTCGCCCAGGCTGGAGTGCAGTGGCGGGATCTTGGCTCACTGCCACCTCCGCCTTCTGGGTTCAAGTGATTCTCCTGCCTCAGCCTCCTGAGTCGCTGGAACTACAGGCATGAGCCACCATGCCTGGCTAATTTTAGTATTTTTAGTAGAGATGGGGTTTCACCTTATTGGCCAGGCTGGTCTTGAACTCCTGACCTGAAGTGATCCTCCCGCCTTGGCCTCCCAAACTTCTGGGATTACAGGTGTGAGCCACCATGCCCGGCCTATATGAGATTTCAAATCCCACCCAGTTGGACACGGTTAGTTGTTGGAGATATGACGGCAGGTCCTCTTACCTCGTGAGTCCTGTGAGGCCCACTCGCTTTCCTGTCCAGCCATCCCACAGCCATGGTGTCCACAGGGCTAGGACCACTCACTCGCCAAGAAGGCAGGCATGTACCCAGTGTTTCTAAAAGTAAACTTTAAAAAAAGGCCAGGTGCAGTGGTTCATGTCTGTAATCCCAGCACTTTGGGAGGCTGAGGCTAGAGGAAATGCTTGAGGTCAAGAGTTCAAGACCAGCCTAGTCAACATGGTGAATCCCCATCTCTACTAAAAATACCAAAATTAGCCCGGCGTGGTAGCAGGTGCCTGTAATCCCAACTACTCAGGAGGCTGTAGCAGAATTGCTTGAACCTGGGAGGCGGAGGTTGCAATGAGCCAAGATCGCACCATTGTACTCCAGCCTGGGCAACAGAGTGAGTGAGACTCTGTCTTAGGAAAATAAGACAGGCCGGATGCGGTGGCTCACGTATATAACCCCAGTACTTTGGGAGGCCGAGGTGGGAGGAACTGCTTGAGTCCAGGAGTTGGAGATCAGCCTGGGCAACATAGCAGGACCCCATCTCTTAAAAAAAAAAAAAAAAAAAAAAAGACAAAGTAAACAACAATCCATGAAAACAGGGCCAAAGGATGCTAAGTAAACAAGCAAACCCTTGGAACCCATAGTCTAGCCACATATCCTCGATCCTGAGCATGTGGGTGCTCATTTCCTCACCTGCCGTGGAGGCCAGGACATCCCATTTGTCCCGTCCGTGCCTGGGGACATAGAGGAGGGTGGGGAACAACACTTCTGGCAGAGTCGAGGGGCATCCCCAGGGCGACTGTCCATGGCTAGCCCCAACCTGGGGTGCTCAGGCTCAGGACAGCGTCCTGTGGTCCTGACTGTGCCCTGGGGGCCTACCCATTCCCTTGCCAGGTGGGTGCTGCGTTGCAGCCGGGACTCAGAGGCCCACGTCCTGAGGGCTGGTGCGGTGCTACCACTCAGCAGACAGGCGGGGCTGGCACAAGACCCTCCTGTCCTCTTTGCCAGAGGAGTGTGGGCCCTCAAGTCCTCCCCATCCTGGGCCCAGGCCAGGCGCTCGCCCCCACCGAGCCTTGTCTCTCACCAGCACTTGGGGGACCCCATTCTGATGGGAAAGGGACAACTCTGGGACCCCAGGGTGGGCAGGCATGGGGGATGAAGGGCCTCATGGTTCCCCCCGGCCCCGCAGATGCCTCTCGGAGCCTCCCTGACTTCACAGAGCTCGACCTCCAGGGCAAGGTGCTGCCTGAGGGCGTCGGGCCCGGTGACATCAAAGCCTTCCAGGTCCTGTACCGGGAACACTGTGAGGTAGGGCAGCCAGGTGGGCAGGCAAGCGAATGGGGACGCAGCCATGGGCATGGGAGGGTCATGCTGCCCCCCAGCCTCCCTGAGCATCTGCCTCTGCCACAGGCCATTGTCGACGTCATGGTGAACCTGCAGTTCACCCTGGTGGAGACGCTGTGGAAGACCTTCTGGAGGTACAACCTCAGCCAGCCCAGCGAGGCGCCGCCGCTGGCCGTGTGAGTACTGCCCGGCAAGCGGGGAGGAGGGTGGGACCTCAGGTGATTTTGACACCCAGGGTTGCGGCGCCTGCTTGTCCCCTGCAGTTTATGGGGTACACATGCCCTTGGCTGTGTGGAGTGTGTGTGTATAGCCACCTGACACTCAGAGTCGGGGCTGGCGTGCCTGACCAAGCCCAGGCACGGGGCAGGGCACCATCTCCTCCCTGGAGTGGCAGGTTCTGGAATTTGTTTGCCCCCTGTATGCAGGGCAGGATGTAGGATCCCGTCCCACCCCCCGGGCCTGTGCCAGCCGGACCCCGGGGATCCTCGGGAGGCAGGGGGTACTTACCTGACCCTGGGCCGGGGGTGGGGGTCTGATGCTGGGGGCAGGGCCACAGAGTGCCCCAGTGACCCTGGGTGGGAGTAAGGGGGTACCTGTGTCTTCTGGCACTGGAGGTAAGATCACAGAGTGCCCCAGTGATCCTGGAGTGGGGGTAAGGGGGTACCTGTTCCCTTCTGACAATGGGGGCAGGACCATAGAGTGCCCCAGTGACCCGGGGTGGGGTGGGTGCCCGCAGGCATGATGAGGCCGAGAAGCGACTGCCCAAAGCCATCCTGGTGCTGCTCTCCAAGTTCGAGCCCGTGCTCCAATGGACCAAGCACTGTGACAACGTGCTGTACCAGGGCCTGGTGGAAATCCTCATCCCCGACGTGCTGCGGCCCATCCCCAGTGAGTGCTTGGCCTGCTCGGCACCCCCTGCCCCACATACCCCCACCCTGCTCTGACCAGCCCCCGCCACCGCCCACAGGTGCCTTGACCCAAGCGATCCGGAACTTTGCCAAGAGCTTGGAGAGCTGGCTCACCCACGCCATGGTCAATATCCCCGAGGAGATGCTGCGGGTGAAGGTGAGGGTGCGGGGGGTCCCTTTCTCTTGTCCCTGGGGCTTAGGCCCCCCGTCTCCTCTGCTCCCCAGGGGTGGTAAGATTTGTCCCCACACCTGTTCCAGGGATGATGCCTGTGAGGGAAGGGGAGACCTTCTCCGCCTCGGGGAGCACCCTGGGCATTGTCTTTATAAACCAGTGTCCTCAGGCACCCACTGCTGAAATGCAACCCCTTTGTGGTGTTACTGTGCTCAACACAGCATCTTTCAAAAATAAAAACCAACTGCAAACGTACAGTAGTTCCCTTTAGACAGCCTTGCTAGAAAGTGCTTCATGTGTGGCCGGGCGCGGTGGCTCAAGCCTGTAATCCCAGCACTTTGGGAGGTTGAGGCGGGCGGATCACGAGGTCAGGAGATTGAGACCATCCTGGCTAACACGGTGAAACCCCGTCTCTACTAAAAATACCAAAAAAAAAATTAGCCGGGTGTGGCGGCGTGCGCCTGTAGTCAGAGCTGCTGGGGAGGCTGAGGCAACAGAAGGGCATGAACCCGGGAGGCCAAGATCGCACCACTGCACTCCAGCCTGGGCGACAGAGTGAGACTCTGTCAAAAACAAAAAAAAGAAAGTGCTTCAGGTGTGCAGAGACAGATAAAACTTTTTAAGAAAAGCAACAACATCTATAAGGAAACATAATACTTGCCTTTTTCATCAAAAGATGCACATTCGCTAACTACTTAGCTGTGAGGAATTTGATGGGATGTGGTTGGGGAAAAAAAAACCCACCGCTGGGCACAGGGCAGGGACTGGGGCCTGTGGAGACAGTAGACGCCAGATCCAGGAGCAACCCTTCAGAACCAGCAAGACTCAGTATTCATGTATTCACACAACCTCCTTCTCAGTACACAGCAATGAACAAGATGGACAAAACCCCTGTGGTCTCCCAGAGCTGGGATTCCAGGGTATGAAAGAAAATGAGGCCGGGCGCGGTGGCTCATGCCTGTAATCCCAGCACTTTGGGAGGCCGGGGCGGGCGGATCACTTGAGGTCAGGAGTTCAAGACTAGCCTGGCCAACATGGTGAAACCCTGTTTCTAAATACAAAAATATTTAAAGATACAAAATTTAGCTAAAATACAAAAAATACAAAAATTAGCCTGGCGTAGTGGTGTGTGCCTATGATCACAGCTACTCAGGAGGTTGAGGCACGAGAATCGCTTGACCCCAGGAGGCGGAGGTTGCAGTAAGTGGAGATCACGCCCCTGCACTCCAGCCTGGGCTATAGAGTGAGATTCAGTGTCCAAAAAAAAAAAAAAGAAACATGTTTATCAAAGCAGTATTTGCCCTTTCTGCGCAGTGCCCTCCATATTTTCTATTGTGTTCTTTCGTTTTAAAAAAAAAAAAAAGGCCTTTCGTGGCACGGTGGTTCACTTCCAACACTTCAGGAGGCAAAGGCAGGAGGATCTCTTGAAGCCAGAAGTTTGAGACTAGTCTGGGCGACCTGGCGAGACCCTGTCTCGACTGTTATTTTAAAAAATAAAAATACATTTTAAAAAATATTGTGCCCTGGTCAGAATACAATTAATTGAATTTTGGGGGGCGCTTGTGAGTGGACACCCAAAGTTTGAAGGTCGCGATCCTTCTGTATCCCAACAAAAGTAGCGAAGCGCATCCCTCCTTTTTTAGGAAAAAAGAAACAGGCTGAGGGAGGTTGCCTCGGGGTGGGGCCAGGGCTGGCGGGCTGGGGTTCCTCGGAAGCAGCAAGCCCCCCAATCCCTGCACGCAGGTGGCCGCGGCCGGCGCCTTCGCGCAGACACTGCGGCGCTACACGTCGCTCAACCACCTGGCGCAGGCGGCGCGCGCTGTGCTGCAGAACACCGCGCAGATCAACCAGATGCTGAGCGACCTCAACCGCGTGGACTTCGCCAACGTGCAGGTGAGTGCGGGGCGGGGCGGGCGAATGAGGGGCAGCCCAGGGGGGCGGGCCAGGCTGGGGTGACGGCGGCTGAGCCCCGGGCGCCCGCCCACCCGGTGTGCCCCAGGAGCAGGCCTCGTGGGTGTGCCGTTGCGAGGACCGCGTGGTGCAGCGGCTGGAGCAGGACTTCAAGGTGACGTTGCAGCAGCAGAACTCGCTGGAGCAGTGGGCGGCCTGGCTGGACGGCGTGGTGAGCCAGGTGCTCAAGCCCTACCAGGGCAGCGCCGGCTTCCCCAAGGCCGCCAAACTCTTCCTTCTCAAGTGGTCCTTCTACAGGTGCGCGCGCGGCGGGTTGCACCAGGGAAGGCCCTGGGCCCCTGTGGGGCTCAGTTGCTCTTCTACGACGACCCGAGCCTGCAGGCTGGGCGGGCGGGCTGGGGCCCTGGGCTCTGTACCATGCACGCCCGGGGGAAGGCTGTGTTGGGATCCAGCCTGAGTCGCTGGGCTGGCGCGAGGCCCGGGCACATCGCAGCGGGGAGGGGTCGAGGGGTTGGGCCGGACGGGGCCTGACGGTCTCCTCTCCGTCGCCATACCCAGCTCCATGGTGATCCGGGACCTGACCCTGCGCAGCGCCGCCAGCTTCGGCTCCTTCCACCTCATCCGGCTGCTCTACGACGAGTACATGTACTACCTGATCGAGCACCGCGTAGCCCAGGCCAAGGGCGAGACCCCCATCGCCGTCATGGGCGAGGTGCGCGCAGCGGGCCACTGGGGGCGCGGGCGGGGCGCCAGGCGGCGGACCCTCACCCATTTTCTTCTCCTTCCTCCAGTTCGCCAATCTGGCCACCTCCCTGAACCCCCTGGACCCCGACAAAGGTAGGCGAGGCGTGTTCCCACCCAGGGCGCGGGTCCCGGGGGTGGCGGACAATGGAGGGGCTGGGGAGGAGGAGGAACCCAGGGGCGTTGCCACCCCGCCCCGAGCCTGACTTGGCCCCTGTGTCCCAGACGAGGAGGAGGAAGAGGAGGAGGAGAGCGAGGACGAGCTGCCGCAGGACATCTCACTGGCGGCTGGCGGCGAGTCACCCGCGCTGGGCCCAGAGACCCTGGAGCCGCCGGCCAAGCTGGCGCGGACTGACGCGCGCGGCCTCTTCGTGCAGGCACTGCCCTCCAGCTAAGCCCTTGGCCTCCCCGCCCCACCCGCCCCCGCCACCCCTTCACGGCAGGGTCCCTCACAGCTTCTGTGGCTTCGTGGTCACCGCTCCAGCCTCAGCCAGGGCAGGGAGGGGGCCTCCGAGACAGGGAAGGCCAGGGCCCTCCTACCCTATGGGGCCGGTACAATCAGTGGGCTGGGCGGAGCCGCAGCTGCAAACTCTGACACAAAAGACGTGCCTTAAGGAACCCGCCGCGTGCCCAGGTGCCCCGTGGGGCATCCAGCTCGGCCCCTTGGCCGCCCCCCTCCCAGGCCGCAGCATCTTCACCCCAGCCCCGTCCTCCCACCACCCCAGGGGGCAGGCAGGCAGGCCCCCTCCCGTGCGGAACTGTTAACTTATTCAGCTCGCTGGCTTTGCACAGCCTGTCCTGGGCCCAGCCCTGAGCCCTGGGCCGGCGCAGGTGGGCGTCACCTGGGGACTCCCCACTGTCAGCAGCAGCCCCGGGACCCCCTACCCCCAGCAACCCCACTGCTTCCCCTTCTTGGTATTAAGTGCAATTAAAGCCGTGGGTGTCGCATCTTCTCCGCTGGGCCCTCCCTTGCCCCCAAGCCCGAGAAGGGGGCACTGCCCGGCCCGGCTGTGGGGAGGGCGGCAGGGGGCACGGCCTCCAGCTTCCAAAGAGCAGCGGGCCGCGGGGCCGGGGAGTGCCCACAGACCCCAGCCCCCGCGCCCCCCCTCCGCCGCTGGTTTGTAATGGAACCTTTTCTGTGCCCCTATCTTCCCGGAGACTGTGCTTCTCCTCCGTGCCGTGCGACCCCCACCCCATGACTATTGTGCGATTCGTGAGCGCCGCCCGAGCGGAGTTGGTAACTTGTTGGGTTTTTTTCCAACCATCATGGCCTTATCTGTTCCAGTTTTCTCAGTGTTTTCAGCCTGTGAGATAGATGTTTATGGCAAGAAAAAGAAAAAAAAAATGGAAATCTGACCTATTGTATAAAAATCACTATTTTGTGTGCTCCGCGTGCTACAGCTTTTGGGGCGGCCTGCCCAGTCCCCGTGCCCACGGGGCTCCCTCTCCCGGCGGTGAAAGTGTCCACACGTGTGGTAGTCTAGTGTGCCGAGCTGTTTTCTACCTTTTTGTAGTCTTTCTTAAAACAATAAATTCCGCTGTGATAATTTGCCTACTGCTGACTCGCCGGGCCTTGGTGGGGGCCTTGGGGCGGGGGCTCCCGCTGGGCCCCAGGCTGCAGTAAGGGGACCTCAATGAGGTTCAGAAATTAAAACATTTATTACATGAAGAAGAACGGAGTGGGGATGGCCAGGAGGTTGCCAGCCTGGGTGGGGAGGCTGGGGGCGGGCAGGGCAGGGGGAACAGGGTCCATTCGACCTCCCCGAGGGCAACGTCCACAGCTGTAGCCGAAGAAAGGGGCAAATGCACAAGGGACCAGGCCCATGCCCAGCTCGGAGTGAAGGCAGGGCGCTCAGGCTGGTGGGGCAGGGGGCGCCCTCTCTCTGCCCCTTCCCAACTTAAATAGGCATAAATAAAAAGCGTCCAGACCCTCGGGCCACCAGGGGCTGCCCTGCCCAGCCCGGTTCCACAGCCTAACACTAGTGCCGGTCATCAGTCGGTGGGCCAGCCGGCCAGGAAGAGGCCACCCCGGGGAGGCGGCCGGTCCCAGGCCGCGGAGGTAGTTGGAGTCAGTGTCCGGGGCGGCCCGGCCCTCACAGCACGATCCACGTGTATCGCTCGCTGTCTGCCAGAACCTTCAGGGAGCACCCTACAGGGACAGGTGGGGACAAAGCATGGAGCCCCTGCCTGCCCAGCCCTGTGGCCACACTCCCCACCTGACTTCCTTCTGGCCCAGAAGGTTCCAGAAGGCAAGAACCCTGCTGAGTTGCCCTCCGCCTCTCGCCTGCAGCTACTCAATAAACGTCTGTAGTGGGAACGAGCGACGGGCCAGTCTGGTGGGAGGCTCCCAGGCCCCACACCTTCAGGGCTGCTGAGCTAGGCCTGGCCTGGGCGGCCCTCTCCTTACCAGCCTTCCCACCCATTTCATCAGCGCTCAGGAATCAGCGCCTGGGTGAGGACAAGTGACCCTGGGGACCCTGACCATCACGGGGTCACCGACCCCCACCTTTGTGGAGCGCCTCGTTGGTCATCCTGTTGACGTAGCGGCCGCTGCTCTCAGGCACCAGCCACTTCATGACCATGTCCACACAGCTCTTGCGGTAGGAGCTCCAGACACTGCCGCTGTGGGGCCAGGGGGTGAGTGGCTCTCATCGCCTCAGCCGCCCCCGACCCTGCCCCCCAGCCCTGCCTCACCTGGTCTGCCCTTTGACCTCAGTCAGGTCGCCTACACTGACTGTCTCGAAGATGCCTGTGTTGAGGTCCCATGCCACCTTGAGGCTGGTGTGATAGGTCTTTGGTCTGCAGTGGAGAGGGCCACAGGATAAGCGCTGGGACAGCCGGGCTCCTGAACCAGGCCCCACACAACCCTGAGGGGCTTTTGTCTTTGGAGAAGCTATGGAGGGGCCCAGCCAGGTTGTGGCACAGGGAGCGCCTTCTCACATCCCCACACCCCCACCCTGAAGTGTCTGCCAGCGGCCCCCCTAGTGGACAGGGACGACAGGGTCCCCGTGCTCACCGGAGCTGACCCTCCTCAGTGGGGGACGGGAAGGCCAGGAGCAGCAGGCCAATGTTGATGAGGACCTGGTTGGTTTCCGGGCACACCTGGGATTGGGGGTGGATGATGCCAGCTGCTGAGGGCGACTCCAGAGTACAGGGAGCCCTGGGCCCACCCTGCCCACCCTGGGCCCACCTCTAGAATGACAATGTCATAGTCGCTGAAAGAACAGAACTGGTGGCCCCAGGTAGCGTCGTGGCGGATGACCTCATTGATGACATATTCGAAGTCCAGTGTGAGCTGCTCCACTGTCAGGTACTGGCCCTGCGGGCAAGTGCGCAGGCGCAGAGGACGGTGCCAACTGCCCCCCAGCAGCTTCCCGGGACTGCCCTCGGCCCGCCCACGCCCGCACCCACCTGGACAGCAGTCCGCTCCCGCATGGGCCGCAAGTTGCGGCCACGAAGATCAGTCACCACGAAGGGCAGGGAGATCTTGTCGTCCTCGAACTCTGGGGAGGCAGGAAGTGGGGATGGGGTGGAGGGAGGACAGGGGCTCCATCTGGGTTGGCTTCCCCATCCCAGGCCCTGCCACATGTCTGCCCCCCGCTCACCATCCTCCGGCTCCGTCCCCTCTCCGGACTCCAGCACATAGTACAGCTTGGTGTAGTTGATGTAGCCAGGCTCGGGGGCAGGCGCCTCCGAGGCAGGGGGGCTGTCCCGGGGTGCTGCCTCTCCACACATGGCTAAGGGTTCAGAGTGCGCACGGCAGCGGCTGCCAGAGGGTCCTGGGCACAGGGCAGGCCGGGCTTCCTCAGGGGCCCCGCCCTTGGCCTCTTTGGCCCGGCGGAAGATGTCAGCCACAAACTCCTTGGCTTTGGCAATGGCGGGCGAGGGCTCAGGAGACCCAGAGGAACGGGCTGGGGCCGCCTCAGGGCAGAAGCTAGGGAGGGCAGGGGGCAGCTCTGGGCTCTGGGGCTCAGGGGGGCTGGCAGGCGCCGGGGGGCAGGTGCTGTGGTCATACAGGATTTGGCAGAAACTCCTGTCACCTGGAAGAAGAGATGGGTGTGGACAAGTGTCAGTCTGGGGTGCTCCCAGCCTCGCTCAGTGTCCTCAGGGGTTTTCAGAAACCCACCTTGAGGAGACACTTCTAGACTTGGCTATGCTGAGATCAGTCTGAAACACCCAGAAGGGGACAGACCTTTCCGCGCATGCACACCACGCACACATGCGTGCAGACGTTCACGTTCATTCAAACCCCTTTCTTAAGCTGTCTACTGAGTGCCCCACGCTGAGGACACAGGAGTGAACTAGGAGCCGACACTCTACAGTGTAGAGCGTTCACTACAGTAGCATCCAGCCTCCTAACATCTGCCACTCTGTTGAGGGACATCTTGTGATTTTCACTGGCATTTCTCTGATATGGAAGTCCTAAGGCAAGGCCCTCCTGGGTCCTTCCCGACACAAGCCAGACTGCTGCGGGCACACTTCGTCGAATCGGGGCCTCTGTCTCTGCCTGCCTAGAGATGACTCCCCCAAGGAATGCGGGCAACACATGGAGAATCCCAACATATTCACTGAGCAGCCCTGTGGCTGGGCCCCATCCCAGGTTTCCTCTGAGCCTCCTACAAGTAACCCCCAGAGAAGGGCCGCATCCCCCAAAATGCAGCTCAGAGATGAACTTGCCCAAGGTCACATCTGAGATAAATGGAGTCCGGGCTCCCCTCCACCACTGTGACAGCCCTTCCACGACAGGGCGGGGAACAGGTGACAATGGCCAAGGAAGAAAGCACCCCTCTGTGTCAGCACCTCCCACTGATGACCACGCCCTTTCCCTGGGCTGGCGCAGAGCTGATTGTCCGCTGTGGTTGTTCCTAACAGGACCCACAGCCGAAAGGGCAGAACTGCATCAACCCTCACAAGTTGGGGGGTTCATGGCCAATAACCGAGTGGCCAAGCCTCAGCAAAGGACAGTGCCTCACCCTTCCTGGTATAGATTGGGGGGGTGAGGACAGGAGTCCCCAGATATGTCTGGGGACAAAAGTGCCCTGGCCCCTGGCTTGTGGGCTGAGTTATATACATTTAATCCTGCCCATTCCCCGACTGCCCCCAGGGACAACCACTTCCATGGGGATGATGGACGTCTTTGTATCTGAGTTCTTGTAAAATTAAAATGTCTTTTTTTTTGGAGATGGAGTCTTGCTGTCTCCCAGGCTGGAGTACATTGGCACAATCTTGGCTCACCGCAACCTCCGCCTCCTGGGTTCAAGCAATTCTCCTGCCTCAGCCTCCTGAGTAGCTGGAATTAGAAGCATGCACCATCATGCCCAGCTAATTCTTGTATTTTTAGTAGAGATGGGGTTTCACCATGTTGGCCACACTGGTCTTGAACTCCCTGACCTCATGTGATCTGCCTGCCCTGGCCTCCCAAAGTGCTGGGATTACAGGCGTAAGCCACTGCGCCTGGCCTAAAACGTCTTTTTAATTTATATTAAGTGGTTCCAGTTATAGATTCCTTGTGTTTCACCCCCCACATGTGCACACATCTCTGACACATGCTCCACGGATGCCAACGCGGGGGCCTTCACTGGTGCTCCACAGATGCCCCCAACCCCCCGACTCCTCCTAACTCACTCCCCAATCCCCAGGGAGGGTTCTTCAGGTGGCCCCCAGCTCCCCGTCAGCAGCCTTGGGACACAGGGACCCAGTGAGACCCTGCCAGAGGAAAAGACCCGGGCACAGGGCAGCTGGGTCAGTCATAGTCACAATTCTGTTGCCAAATGGCCCCGGGGCCCCCTCCCTCCCGTTGCTGCCAGCCGGGGGCATGATCCAGCCTCCTGATATTTGTCACTGTCAAGGGACATCTTGTGATTTTCACTGGCATCTTTCCGACATCAAACATATAAGGCAAGTGCCTGCCCACTAACCACGCCCCGAAATGTTACATTAGCAGTTCTCTTCTTAAGAGAAAGGGGCGCTTCCCCATCCAGCTAGCCACCTGTGGCTATTTCAGCTTAAAACAACTACAATTAAATCCATCACAGGCCAGGTGCGGTGGCTCACGCCTGTCATCCCAGCACTTTAGGAGGCTAAGGTGAGTGGATCACTTGAGGTCAGGAGTTTTGAGACCAGCCTGATCAACATGGTGAAATCCCGTCTCTACTAAAAACACAAAAATTAGCTGGGTGTGATGGCACAGGCCTGTAGTCCCAGCTTCTCAGGAGGCTGAGAGAGGAGAATTGCTTGAGCCTAGGAGGCAGAGGTTGCAGTGAGCCGAGATCGCGCCACTGGACTCCAGTGGAAAAAAAAAAAAAGTATCACAAGCTCAGTTCCTCAGTCACATGAGCCACATTCTAAGTGGCTCCTGGAGGCAGCCATGGTGGACAAAGCAGATATGGGACATCTCAGCCCCTGGCAAGATCCCGTGGGCAGGGCTGTGGCGGGCATGGCCACGTTTGGACCCCAGCATTCCCACGACCAGGCTGTGTGACCTGGGGAAGTGGGCTCCCACCTCTCTGTGCCTGGGGCCACTTGTCTGTGTGGTGGGGTAGGGAAAGGACCCGC